TCCCCCATGTCTCTTTCTCCCTGCCCATATGGCTGCCCAGCCAGAAGACTGTATTTCCTAGCCTCCCTTGCAGCTAGGTCACGTAATTATGTTTTTGTCAAATGAAGATGAGCCACAGAGATTTGTGAAACCAGCCTAAAGGGTAACTGCTTGCCCTGAACGTCTCTTTTTTCTTTCCTCAATATCAAACAAGAGCATGCAAACAACCTGGCTTCTACTGCACAGGCCTGGGGATGGTGGAGCAGCAAGACGGAAGGAACCTGGGTCCCTGAATGATCTTTTGGGACAGAGTTGCTCCACCAGCCCCAGACCAGCCAGATTTTTATCTGAGAGAAAAATAAACTACCTTGTTTAAGCCACTACATGTTGGAGTTGTTTCAGTAGTTAAGCCTCTAGCTAAGTAACATATTTCCTCAAATCTATTCTTTCCACTTACCTTAATACACTAATTATAATTTTTTAAGTAGGCATAATATGTCTCAGATAGAAGGCTATAGTTCCCAGTCTCCTGTGTACCTACATGTGACCACGTGACTCAGTTGTGGCCAATGAAGTATAATTGTTATAAGGAAAAAATTGTTCCATGAAACTTCTAAGTATTCCCCTTATCAAGTAGTTAGCGACCTTCCTGTTTCCTCTCTCCCACTGTCTGGAAGGTGATGGGAATACTTGGAGCTCAAGCAGTCATTCTGGACCATGAAGTTACACGCTCAGAATTAGGAAGAAGCAGAAGAGCAGGATCCAGGGTCCCTGGTGCCCATGGAGCTCCACACCAGTTCTGGACTGCCTACTTCCAGAAGTCTTTACAAGGGAGAAAGGCTTCTGTCTTCTTCAAGCTATTAATTGTTGTTTGTTGTATACAGCTGAAACTAGCTCTAACTACAGACACATCCACTAACAGAGATGTCAGTTGCAGGGGCACACATTTCAGACCCCAGCTGGATTGTTGGCATGCCTGGCGGTAGGAAAGGGAAATCACTACTACCCAAAGTTGTACAAGTAGGAGGCTTTGCCTTTGTGCTCATTAAAGTAGCTCTACGGGGAGGTCAGTGGCTGACAAACCCCCAGCCTCTGGGCCCAGCAGGCCTCAACAATGGTGGCTCACACTAGGGGACCATGAGTTGTGTGGTGACAGAAAAGAAGAGGAAGGGAGTGGGGAGGCTGATGTGACCCGCTCTCATGGGTCAGGGAGCAGGAACAGACTGCTCTGAGGTGGGCGCTAGTCACTGCAAATTTAGGTCAATACGGAGAAGGAAATAAGGCAACATCTTGCTTTAGGCTGCCCTGGTCTCTGCACAACCGAGGCCGGCTGCGGCGCCCTCCCCCACCATCCCCCAAAGAGGGTGGAAGCCAGATTGTGAGATCTGGGGGAGCACAGACTCAGCACCGTCCACAGCCTCCCAGGGCTTCGGCGACCCTCCCGCTAGCGGCCTCAGTCTCCCCGCCTGTAAAGCGGGCAGCAGGCACTGACAGCTCCGGAGGGCCCTTCCTCCAAGCCTGCCGGGTCCGAGCAGTGCGCTCTCCATCCTGGCCTCGGCTGTGTCAGAGCGGTCTCCACTGGCGTCCTTACCACCCCTGCCCCGTCCCCGTCCCCGTCCCAGGTCTCCTCTCCCGCAGCCTCACCCTCCTCCGACAGGTAGCGCAGGTCGTAGAACTCCCCCGCGAAGGTGCCGTAGGAGGAGTCGTGGCGCGGCACTGAGTCGTCGGCGCCCGCGTTCCCCTGCGCTCGGCCCCGGGGTCCCCGGCCCCCCGGGCCCGCGCCGTCGTCCGCGGGGCTGGCAGCGCAGGCGGCGGGCCCCTCCAGCAGCAGCAAGAGCAGCGGCGCCCAGACCCCCAGGCGCTGCTGCGGTGGCCGCGCCATGGCTGCGCTCAGATCCCGCAGCCAGGCCGCTCCGGCCGCAGCGGGGGCGCCGCGGGCGCGGGCCGGGACTGAGTTACCACGGCCACGGCCGCCGCCACCGCCGCCACCGCCGCCACCACGCGCCCGCGCAGCCGCGCAGCCGCCCGCACCCCGCCTCCCGGCCTCGGTCTGCGCATCCTCGCTCCAGCTCCGCAGCCGCCTCCTTCCTCCTGACAACCTTTCCTCCCGGCCCGGACTCTCCTTGCTAGCGGCTCCCTTCCTCCCGCGCTCTTTGCATTCTCCCCATCTCCTGTACGTCGTCCACGTCCTCCTCCAGCCTCCTCAAATTTGGCCCTTCTGGTACTTTGCTACTCAGAGTGTGGTCCGCAGAGCAGCAGCAGCAGCACCACCTGAAGCTTGTTAGCATCACTCACCTCAGACCCCACTCCAGACCCGAGATTTAGGATCTGCATTTTACCGAAATCCGCAGGGGATCCCAAGAAGCGCTCCTCGAGGGTTTACCCTGGACAGAGCTTGTTAGAGTTGCTGCCTCCCGCACCTTGTTCTTGCACTTTTTGGTTTATACAAACCACTTACTGGATCCATTGTTTCTTGGATCATCACAGAAGGAACTTGAAATTTCAAGACCACCACCGTATAGATATTCAGGCTGAGGTGCTTAGAGGCAGAGAGGAAACAAGAACCCGGCCTGGATTCACCTGTCCCCTCTCTGGGCTCTTGGAGTGTGTAATCAGCAGAGACTGGTGTCTGTACATTACCTGCCCCCTTCAAAACGAAGCAGCTGGGCCACCTTTAGCCTGCCCCAAGCACGCACAGGCTTTGGAAGGCCTGTGCTAAGTCTGATGGGCAGGCTGAATTCTTGACTTGATCAAACCCATTCCTGCCGCTTGCAATTCACGTTCAGTTATTTATTCCGCCATCCATTTATTCCCTCTAAGCACCTGCTACAAGCAAGGCCCCAGGGTTCTCTTCTCCTGATGGTTGTTGGGGTGCTAACACAGTTAAACTGCTAAGGTGTGTTCTGGAAGAGACATGGACACAATTCTTCCATGCTGGTGTTGCATAGCCAGCATTTTAACCTGCTTTTATCTACTTCTTTTTATTTTATTGTGTAAACAAAATAATTATGGAGAAAGAAAAGCATATTGGTCCCAAATGCAGACCTAGAAGTCAACCTGCCTGCAGTGGTCATCAATAGCCTCCTATGATTAGTAATCTCCATAATGCAATGAAGATTAGGGCAGGTATTAGAGGTAAGGATCAACAAGGTTCAATGCTGTGAATAAAAATGTATATTATGAAAATTAATGTGCAAAAAGAAACTAGTGACTTCAACCTTTCGTGGCTGGGTTGGCCAGGAGCCTTAAGTAGTGCTGTTGAAATAGGCAGGCATGCTGGAAGGCCCAGAGGGCAAGTGTCTGCTATTGGGTATATTACCTGATGGTGAGTTGTCCAGTTGGAGTTACTCTTGACAAGTGAATCAAAGTGTGATTCTTGAAAACAATGGGTTTCATTCACTAGATCCTCCCTAATACCAGTTGTTGAAAGAAATCGATTCAATTTATTGTTTGAAAGAGGTAAGATGAACTATAATTACTTTTATAAAATCAAAATAAAGAGACTTGTGAAAAAGCTTAGCTTGGGGCTCAGTGCCTGTAGCTCAGCTGCTAGGGTGCCAGTCGCAGATGGCGGAGGCGGCAGGTTTGAACCCAGCCCTGGCCTGCCAAACAACGACAAGTACAACAAAAAATTAGCCAGGTGTTGTGGTGGCCGCTTGTAGTCTCAGCTACTTGGGAGGCTGAGGCAAGAGAATTGCTTAAGCACAAGAGTTTGAGGTTGCTGTGAGCTGTGATGCCACAGCACTCTACTGAGGGTGACATAGTGAGACTCTATCTCAAAAAAAAAAGCATAGCTTGGCATTGCATCAAATTCTAAAACACAAATGTCTAATCTAATAGATTAAAAATCTATTAAAGTATAATCCTTCAGAAATAAATCTTCCTTAAAAATTGAGACTTCTTTCTTTTCTTCTCATTCTGTTCGCCAGAGGAGGTATGGTCAATTTTAAATGGATCAACATTTAGCCAACAAAAGAAAGCATCAGACTTCTGATCTTAGTGTCAATTCTCTGGTTTGGGAATCCAAGATGTTACCTATTACTTTATTTTTTTCTTTTTTTGAGACAGAGGACTCTGTCACCCTGGGTAAGTGCCATGGCATCATCATAGCTCACAGAAACCCCAAACTCTTGGGCCCAGGTGATCCTCTTGCCTCAGATTCCCAAATAGCTGGGACTATAGGAGATCACCACAATACCCAGCTAGTTTTTCTATTTTTAGTAGAGATGGGGTCTTGTTCTTGCTCAGGGTGGTCTTTCACTTCTGAGCTCAAGGAGTCCACCCACCTCAGCCTCCCAGAGTGCTAGTATTACAGGTGACAGCCACCATGCCTGGCCTATTCTTCTCCTTTCAATTACTAAAATTAATAGTAATGGTGCCCAAATAGAAGGCAAATGAAAACCAGATGATTCCTCTCCTGGTAAATAAGTCTGATAAAAACTCCTGGGTTTTCTGTATTGTTTTGTGGAGGAGGGTATAGGGGACGGTTTGCAACCGCAGCCTACAATGAAGTTTCCAGACAATTTGTGGATTTCAACTCTCTACTCATGTTTAAGAACCCAAGGTCTGTGGCCTCAAAAGAGGATACAGATAGTCTTCACGGGTGGTGTGAGGAGCATATGAAAGGCTGGAATAAGGTTGTGATGCATGGATTTTTCTAGGGAGAAACCAAGAGTTTTCATGTGTCACTCAAAGTCTGTGACCCTCTTTAGGACCTTAGAATTTATTCGAGTTCTCAATTCCTTACAGACTTAGCTGTTTCCATTTCATGAGATTCTCTCCCATCCACTTAAATATTTTTTTGGAGGGGAGGAGTTTCTTACACTTCGTGTTTTCTTATAAGATTTAAGTCCTAGAAAGATTGATGGGAAGCCTATTCCAATCCTACACACACACAGAGACCCTCTGCTCCCTACCAAGGCAAGTTTACTGGATGGCTAAGAAATAGTTTGGTTTCCATTTTGAGCACATTTTCTGGGAAGAACTTTGCCTTGAACACTCTGAGACCCCTGGCTAAACAAGAACCAGCTATTCAAACAAGAACTTAAGAGATGAACCAGAGTTTAAATTCAGTTTCTTTTTTTTTGAGACAGAGCCTCAAGCTGTCTCCCTGGGTAGAGTTCCGTGGCATCACAGCTCACAGCAACCTCCAACTCCTGGGCTCAAGCGAGTCTCCTGCCTTAGCTTCGCAAGTAGCTGGGACCACAGGCACGTGCCACAGCGCCTGGCTATTTTTTGGTTGCAGCCGTCATTGTTTGGCGGGCCCCGGCTGGATTCAAACCCGCCACCTTAGGTGTATGTGGCTGGCGCTTTAGCCACTTGAGCCACAGGCACGGAGCCAGTTTCATTTTTAAAAGAAAGACAGCACCTTTATTTTCTCTCCTTATCAAAGCCAGTTCTGTTAAACAAACTTTTCTCTGTTATAAAAACTGCCCCCAATAGGTGCTGTATTTTGGCATCTGACCAGTAACAGATTTTCCCATGCACCTGACTTGCCTACAATAGATGAGTTTTCTCTTTGGATTTCCTAAGAAATAAAAGCTATGACTGTGGCATTTCCTCAGAAAGTTAAACACAGAGTTGCCATATGACCCAGCAATTCCAGTAGTACATAAAAACCTGTACATGAATGTTCATGACAATATTACTCATAGTAGCTGAGAAATAGAAGCAACCCAAGTATCTATCGACTCCTGAATGTGATACATTACTCAGCCATAAGAAGGAATGAAGTTCTGATATATGCTACAACATGGATGAACCACGAAAACATGTTAAGTGAAAGAAGCCAAGTTGCAAGAGACTACATATTGTATGATTCCATTTATATGAAATGGCTAAAATCAGCAAATCCATAGACAGAAAGTAGATTAGTGGCTGCCAGAGTTTCCAGGGGTGGCAGTGGGGACTTGGTAGTGACTGCTAACAGATACAGGGTTTCCTTTTGGTATAATGGAAAATGTTCTGGAATTAGATGGTGGTTTTGTTTGAGCGATAATGGTGAATACACTAAAAAAGCACTGAATTGTACACTTTAAAATGGTTATAATGATGAACTTTATTTGACCTTTTTAAAAAGTTGTGATCTCAAAGATCTCAAAGATCATCATAATTGTAGAGGTGAAAGAAAGATAGATATGATATCAGAATATTCCTGTGCTATTTGGGGAATATAAAATTCTGGGTGCATACAGTTGAAATCGTCCAAATGCTCTAGAGGACCTCAAACGTTCAAACCTAAAGATCTCCCATGCAGTCTGCAATCCATACACCCTGTAGGGGTGCAGGATTCCCAGACCCCTTGCAGTGAGTGACCTTCCATGCCCACCAGGAGTCTGGCCTAGTCTGGAGCCCTAAGCTGATTTTTCTCTCCTGGACGTACAATGTATGTTACGTGACTGTGTGGTGCTGTTGTTTTCATTTTAAATATATTTTAAAAGGGGAAACAAGTCTATCAATTCCTCTGAGTCCCTATAAATCCACCCATACAATTTCATCTTCTTGGGTCACAGGGTCAAGCATCCATCATACATTTAAGGAGGCAAATAACCAAGACAATGGCCGAAATCATGGAATCCTCTGGATTTTACTGCTTAGAGGTGAGCTGCCAAAAGTAGGGGTTTTTCAAATATAGTCACAGCCAACTTGTTTGTGGTCAGACTGCCAATGACATCAACCTTCAGAATCATCTGTGAACTTGGGGAAGTGGGGAAGCAGCTGGGGGCTTAGCCTCCAGGAAACATTGGTCAAAAAGCCCATGCACCCCTCCTTGGAAGTCAGGCAAACCTGACACATAAAATACTTGGCTTCCTGGCTCCTTGGAGAAACCTTCCGCTTTGGCCTGGGGTTTCCAGCAGAAAGCAGGAGGTAGGGGAGCAGAAGCCTCAGAAAGCAGGTTAGACAAGGAAAAGGGTGCTGGACTGGTGAGAGGGGATAGCCCCATAATGTATAGGAACACGTTTTTTATCACGTGCACGAGATAAGGAACAACTGAAGCTGTTTTAAAAGTATAGCCAGGGGACATAGGGGCAAAAGGCCCCAAACGCCACAACTGCCCC